GTCTTTAGAGATTTATCTGATTTTACGAAGAATCTTGCATCGGCCGTTTTCCGGGTTAGTCCACGCTGGAGGTTGCTATGCCTACAAATCGGCAAACTTCACCGGGTTTCTGTCCTACGCATGGAATGCGTTTTTACATGTTCGGTTCTGTGGATGTGTTCACTTCTCTGCCTGTTCTCTGCTTAAACAGGACTTGGATCAATTTCAAAGGCGAATCAGTTGTCAAGTCTGTGAAGACAAAAGAGTGAAACACTTTCTGCATAGAATTGGTTTAACAACAATTTTGTCGTGTTGTCAGGACTACCTCGAGGAAGAAATCTGCCAAAGTACATTCTTAGTCGTTTTGTCGGCATCGTGATTGGGAACGGACCGATTTTATTCTGTCACCAAACTATAGAGGCAATCGCATTTTGGTCTTCATACCTGAAGTCAACGAGTATACTACTCATTTATTGCAGTGTTTTGATTGGACAAAGTTGGAACTAGCACAAAGGAAAGATAGAGACAGCCTAAAATGGAATCGTTTTAAAAATGCACTGCACCATGGCAATCTTCCGTTATGAATGTGTTGAGCCTGATAGATACACAATGACAGGTAGAATTAGGAAATGCTGAGATTTTGGAGCTGTCTTCGAGGAATATAAGCTAAGACCAGAGGCTTCTAGCAAATGTCTAAAAACAAATAATTTCCCCTCTCTGCATGATGGCATTTTTCGCCTCTCCAGTTGGCATAAATGACATCAAACTTTGCACCGCGACTCATTAGTCCTTCGCTATAACGACAAGTCTTCAGTCCGACCCCCGCGAAGAGAGCTGATCAGGCCAGAGAAGCTTCGAGGCTACCGGCCCGGGAGATGAAGTTGATCTGAACATTAAGTGCAACACGAACCCATGTTTCGGGAAGACACATCCGGATAACTTTGTTGTCAAGTCGCCAACTCAGCATCATGAGCCGATCTGGACGGTGAAACCACAGTAACTCTTAAGAGCATCTGAGACAGGTCATGACCAGCTCTCATCCAAAAGGTTCCGAAACCCACTAATTTTTAATATAAGTAATGGGGTCGAGTCCAGTTGCAGAACGTATGTTTCCCAATGACTTAGGGACACCCGTAGCTTTGTAGGGCAAATAGACCTGCACTATCGTATACATTATATATATTTTTAATATATAATGTATATATTTAACGTATAGAATATTGGAGTTGTCTCCTTCTCCTTTATGGTTTGCTTTCCTCTTCCCGTTCATCAACACCTTCAACGTTTATGTCTGTTTGTTTATGTTTCTTGTCCTCGGAATCCACTCTACCCACTGGCCTATTGTGCACTTATGCTCTGAGCAACTTGTAAAGATGAGTATTCCACGTATCAAGACACGTCGTGATGGTACATGCCTTATAACTTCCATTTCTACGACGCTATAAACTTGAATATACTTCTAATGCGAATAAGCCGGCTGAACGAATGGGTTTTTGGTAGAGGCATTCGCCACTAGCAGATTCATATGTTGTCTTTGACAAGTGTGGATTGAGGGACAATGGAATTCGACTTTCTGCATTTTATCTCCAGAGCGAAAACTCTGTCCGGGGGGAAAAAGTATGATTGCGTCAGATGTCAATCCACCATTAGCATGTCAGCTTTCCTCCTCTAAACTATCAACAAGTCTTACGATTTGTCTACTGATGTAGAATGCTTTAATATCGATTTGGTACATGATGTCTGTGAGGATGTAATGCCGAGAGCATTTCCACCATTAGTCATTAATCGGAACGATACTCATGGTTGGTCTCTTTCAAGCTCCAGATAGCCATTGCTGATCCCCCCAAAGCCGAGTAAGACACCGCTTTCTACTTGGTCCTGTCTACCAGAAGGAACTGTCACTTCATGTTCACAAAGGAACTGTCACTTCTTTGTGGACATGAAGGGAAGGGTACTTCAATGAGGAATTGGAGCCTTCCCAGCCATTCTTAGGCAAATTTGTTGACAGTCCCCTCCTGAATTGTGACCAATGCGCTTCGAGCATTAATAAACAATTGACTTTTAAAAGTAACATCATTTATTTTCCCATAATTACTCCTTCTCAGGGCCGCCAACAATTTCTATAAGTCGATTGATGCCACGCCGGATCTGCACTGGGGAAAGAGGACGATCCCGATGGTCAGTGACTTGGTAAGTCGAGTTTCTAAAAGGAAATTAGCACACCTCCAAAGCTAGCGTTGAAAGTGGACAGACGGGGATAAGGAGTCTGACAGTAGCCAGTTAGTGTATCCCATTCCCCAACATTCTGTGATGCGTGGTATTGCAATCGTGTGTGCATTTTTGATCAAACTCTCAGCAGCCTGATCGGCTCCGATGGCAGAGAGGGTCGGTTGCGCCCGAAGCACAAAGGCGTGTGTTTTTTCAGATAAAAAATGCTGATTATGTTTTGCGTCAAAACGATTTAGAAGGGTGCATTCGATGCTCAGACGGATGAAGCAATATGACTAGTGGGGTTTTAAGCTCGAGACAACCTTTTTCTGGAAACTTTGGTTGGTCAAATGGTCTCAAAATCTGAGATGTTGTGCATTTTTGTGTCTCATAAAACACGCTTTCGGAAGGACGGGGAGCCACCGAAGAAAGTAGGATTGCATAGTCAGCTCATGGCAGGAGCCACAGGCTAATGGAGATTGACGAAATGTGGCACCGGAGCCGTTGGCGTGAGGTATGCTTTCCTGCCATCTTACAGCCACCTTGTGGATAGGCTATTAGGGCACATGTGAGCTGGCCCACTTAGAGGATTTGCTCTCAATTTTCCCCGTAAATCATAATTTAACGGTTTATTTTGCTGCCTAATACGCATTTTAATGTCATCCAACTTATACTACTACTTTTTTTCATTTTTGCGTCTATAGGTGCTGCAGGTGAGTAGTATCTTAACTTTCTGGCACAAGCATAAAATGCTAATTACTTTTTCTATTATTTTCTATTTTGTCTTTGTATGCATGTACCAATTTTGTTCATTGTGGCCATCTAATGTTGCTTGAGAAAAGTGTTGTCAATTTTTTGGTATACGCCTAGAAATAGCGTAAAAATTGAATTGTATGCACTCCATCTGTTCCCTCTTGTATGCCTAATTTCATACATCTCCTCGACCTCCTACCACTAAATGGTGAACTCGACCTTTGACCGTCTGCCACAGAAAGGTGAACACCTGACACGAACGAATTGGCCTCAACATCTCATTAAATGATTTACTGGTAGTTTATAAACTCTACTTACATACGATAAATAAGTAACTTAGTCGATTATTATAGCAAAAATATGTCTGTTTTTATGGGCAAACCAACCAAAGAATGTGATATGGCAAAAGGCCTGACCTGGGTTACCGTGTCAGGTTCACATGCTGCATTGTCACGGTTCGACACTCACTGGGGGGTGTTGCTAAGACCGAGACGAGGTCGAAACTGTAGTCCACTCCAGTCGGGATGAGAACAACTTTTGGGGAAGCAAGGCTCTGTGAAATTCAATGAAAGCGTCAACTCTATTCATATCATTGTAGGAAAATTTTTCTACCAGTCCTTCATCATCTTAAATGAAATAGGATGCATATATCGTATGCGACTTTAATTCATATATATATATATGTATATATATATATATATATCGATCTAGGAAACTTTTCTTCACTACTGCTCA